AAATATGACAATGTCAAGATATACAGTTATATGTAGAAGATGGGCAAGGCAATGATCCTGAGAATCTCCCTTTGACTGTTAACCCACTGCCTCCTCCTCAGCTGTCCTGTGGAGTCCTGGTACCTGGGACCCTACTCTTACAAAGTGAGTCTGGAATACATACTTTAAACGAATGAACCTTTTGTCTTACAGTTCTCAGTAGCTGTATGTGTGTTGCCCTGCACCCTGCTCGCTTGGGAGCCTCTTGGAGCAAGGTCTACACCTTACTGTTTACCTCTTTGAGCCGAGTACAGTATCTGCACCTTGCTCTTCATCGCACCTTGAGCTGAAAACTTTCCTTCCTAAAAAATGAAAATACTAAACAAAAATGCTCCTTTTATAATATCTTGAAGATAGAAATTTACTTTTTTTTGAAATTTACTTTTATAATTAAATATTTTAAATTTTAAAAATTTCATATAGGAGACTGTCTTTTAAAATTAAGATAATGTAAGGGCTGGCAAGATAGCTCAGTGGACTAAGTGCCTGCTCTACCAAGCACAGGGACCAGGGTTCAGTCCCCAGTCCCGCATGCCGTGCTGCTTATGAGCCAGTGACCGAGTCCAGGCATGGTGGCACACTCCTGTAATCCCAGTTCTGGGGGGCTAAAAATAGGATCTAAATACACAGAGGAAAAAAAAGTTAGGATAATGCCGTCAAAACTTAGTTTCTTTGGATCACCTTCCAAATGTGCTGTTCCCTGAACTCCCAAAAATGCCACCTGTTGTAGCTCTAGTGTGTTAGGACTTAACATCCTGCCAGACTTCTTTTTAAAAATTGTATGTGAAGTCTGTTTAGTCATAGAAAAAAAAAGTTTTTGTGGCCATGTTTTGTGTGTGTGTGTGTGTGTGTGTGTGTGTGCCACAAAGGTATGCAGGGCACCCCTCGCCTCAGCTGCTTGAGATCACATGGTGTTGATGTGCACAGGCTGAGGCACTGCGTTTCCCCTGTGCACAGCAGTCCCTGGTGGGGCCTCCCTCGTCCTTGGTGGACACTGAGGCTGCCTGTGCTGTTTTGTGACTGCATATAATGCAGCCCTGAATGCATGCATACAGGTCTCCACAGGCACTTTGCCTACTGGCTCTATTTCCAGAATCACCCTTGCTGGGCTGGGGACACTCACATTGTCACTAAGTACACCCAGCCTTTCTTCCAAGCTCCTCCCACTTCCACAGTTCCTGACGTCTGAGTTCTTACCGCTGGCCAGAGCGAGTGGTATGAGGGGAGACCCCATTGCTTCACGGACTTCTCTAGAAGCTGTTGGGGCTGAGCGGGCCTCATGTGTTTATCCGCAATTTACATTTCACTCCCCTTTTCTGAGTGTGACCTCTGCAGTCTAGACTTCCACTGCTGTTCAGTTATGTGCCTCAAGTATTTTCTCCGTGTGTGTCTGTTTTTTTTTTTTTTTTTAGACAGGACTTTTACATTTTGGTGTGGTAAATATGTTAATATTTTTCTTTTATGGCCTCTATATTTTGAAGTGTTTCCCTACTTCCTTAGAGCCAAGACTAGAGATTCAAGTGAAGTCGCTGAGTTCAAAGCTCCATGAAGAACAAGATGCAGATGCCCTATTAGATTCAGAGATAAATGAGAAGTAAGATGTGTCTTGTGGAGATATGCTCTCACATTGTCTTCTGTTAATTTTGAAGTGAATTTTTGGAAACTGCAGACTATAATGTACAGTAGTACCTCGATTCACAAATACTTCTGTTTGCAAACAACTCCATTTGGCAAAATTTTGCTTCTGTTCACGAATTCCTCGAGTGATAAACACAGCCTTGGCCATCTTCCCCAGAATTGTGGAAAGCATTAAGTTCCTGAGCCAAATCTGCAGATGATTTTTATTTCTGGAATGAACTAGGAACTGAAGTTTATTTTTTTCTCATGTGGATAACTAACATCGCTGCTTATATAGTTTATCCTTTCCCACTGACTTGAAATGCCACCATTAACAAATACCAACCTTTCCTAATGAGCTGGCTTTATTTGGTTCTATTCCTGCCCTGACAACCCACTCTTTGCCCATGGCTTTGTAATTCTTAATATTTACTATGAAATTTGACCCATTCTCTGTTGCTTATTGTCTACTATTTTTCCACATGCTCTTTTAGGATCAGTTTAATTTTACAAAAGAAAAATAACATTGAATTTTTAATAGATATTTAATTGTTAACTATAAAAGATCACGTATTATTTATCCCTAAATATTAAAAATGTTATATTTTGCATTTTCTTCAAAATGTTTTTAATTTGTATGACTGATGCCTAAATATTTCAAAATGCATGTTTTCTATTAAATGAAGAGCAAAGAAAATCCAAAGCCTAGTAGAACATAAGGTCTATATAATCCAGGTGCTCTTTAAGGATAATAATACAAAGTTATGAATGCAACATTAGCTGCTGAATCTTGGGAGAGACCTGTGCTAGAATCTCTGGCTTCATAGCTTCAGAGTAATTGTTGTACTTGTGGGGAGAAGGCTGGGAAACTATGTCTCCATTCCTTCTAGAATCACTGATCTGGGGGCTTCTGAGCTAAGTGGGCAGCACAAGTCATCAAGTAATAATTTGAGTTGCAGCCTCGGACATGTTTTTGGTTGTTGTACATTACAGAAAAGCACAGCCTGAACTTTTCCCTGGGACAGCTTGTCACATTCAAAGATCTCAGGGCACTTTATGAGCATTAACTAATTAAACCTCCAAACCCAAGGGGCACCCGAGGGAGAGGCGCAGCATCACCTCATGCAGTCCTGAAATGCAGCCACCTCTGGGGAGGGGTGGCAGCTGCCTAATATAAACTATAACACCTCGTGACAGTTTAGCCTAGACAATTAGACCTTGTTGTTGGTAATTGTCCTGTGACATCAGACTGCCAAGCAGTTCAGTCACTAGGAGTGCTAGTTCATTGCAAGTCTGATCCACCTGTTAAGGGTTCTTATTCTTTAATAATTTCACCGTAATCATACAAGAAATATACGTGCAGCATAGGTCCACTTTTCTTTCAGTGGGGCTTGTTTTTAGTTCTTCAAAGTTAAAACTGAACATAGGAAGGAAGTGTCCTTTTTACAATAAACTACAGGGGCTGGTGAGATGGCTCAGTGGTCTAAAGCACCTACTTAGAACAAGCTTAGCAAAGCACAGGGACCGCGGTTCAATCCCCCAGCACCACATGCCAGCCAGCCCTGCCCCCTGGTGGGCTGAGCTGGACACACACACACACACACACACACACACACACACACACAAATAAAATTAAAAATAAAATAAACTACAATTTAAAAGTAGAAATATATTGGTATGAGTGGTTTTTCATTAAAAAGTTTGCTGCTGAGCAAAACTGAGGGTAAATGACAGAATAGGCACATGGACCAGGCAGGGGAGGTGGGAAGGCTCTGGTGCTGTCATTTTATATATTCTCTGAGGCAGCCAGGTGTAGAAACTTGCGAGCTGAGCACACTTCCCTACGCCTTCAGTCTCAGCAGCAAAATAGGGTTAACCTAGAAAAGTCTGCTGCTTTTACCATCACAGACACATTGGAAGCCCACAGAGGCTCTCTGGGAGATTTTGCCGGGCACTGGAATATTCAGGAGCTGGAGATATGGGGCCTTTATATTCCCCAAGCCTCTCTCTTCAGGAGAGGGATTCTAAGTCCTCAGCCATTTTCCCACCATGCCTCATGCCAGGATGAGACTCTATCTCTGCACCTGCAGCTTTCTGTGCCTCTCTGCCGGTGCCCTGTTGTGCCTCCCTGCACATCTAATTTTTCTCTTAGAATTTTGTTCTCTTCCATTCACCTACATCTTTTTTGAGAGGAGCCAGAAAGCATTCGTCATCTGATAATTTGACTTGAGAGGTGATTACAGAACTGCCACCACAGCAGGCACTGGAAGAACAGGGAAGTGCGGCGGGGAGGAAGGAGCGAGGCCTGGGCTGCTCTGGCTAGTGTGTCCCAGGGGTGGCTAAACTGTGCTGGCTGTGGGGACCCAGGGTCACTCCTGAGAGTGGGCAGAGCATCCTGGGATTCTCTGCCCTAACGTTCAAAGGCTGAGAGCCAGTGTGAAAAGGGCGTCCCTGATGGAGCAGTGCTGGACAGGTGGGCATCCTACAGTGACCAGTGGTGGCCTCTCCCAGAATGGGCTCCTAATGCATCAAAGTAGAAGGGAAAAAAGCAGGGGGGGGGGAGAAAGAGAGAGAGAGAGAGAGAGAGAGAGAGAGAGAGAGAGAGAGAGAGACAGACAGACAGACAGACAGAGACAGACAGACAGACAGACACTGCATGGGTAGGGAAGAGGAAGTAGAAAAACCTTTTCAGAGAAAATAGGAATATTTTTTCCACTATGATTTTTAGTGTAGATTAACACATGAAGTCTAAGTACCACATGCTAACTGATTGTGCCACTAGAGCTCCAGATTAAACACACGAAGACCACCCTGATTACTGACTTTCTAGAACATATGAAACAATAATGCTCAGCAGTTCTTGCTTGGAAAACAAAAAACTGAGCCTCATGGCTGCTGGCCACTGCAATTCTACACTAAGGGAGAATTTCCCTCATGAGAATCCTTGGCCTGGCAACACCCACGGAACTCACTGTGGTTCTTAGCCTCTGTCTTAAGGTTGTTCCAAAGCCTGTTGTCCAGGAAGGCAATAATCACAGGTCCCACTATCCAGCAATGGCAGAGCCCAGGCTTCCTGCATGCTGGACTCAGCAGACCCAGGTCCCTTTTGGCCTCTTGGGGCAGGATCCAGTCATGTTCATTATTTGGGGGATAGAGAGTTGAGGTGGAGCTGCTTAGAGGCCCAACGTCAAAGCCAGCATGGCATAGGCTGCAGAGACTAGCTCTTGTCCCCTCCAGGTACCACCCCAGACTTAAGTCTCAGACTTGCTGCAGTATAGAAAACCAGGACAGCACTGTGCAGTCTCAGTCATCTGCCCTGTCCTAATCTTGCTCCTGTCTCACAGATGCTGAGCTCTGGGCAGACAGCCAGGGTTCCCAGAGGAATGCTGAGGAACCTCCAGGACCAGTCTCTCCAGAGGCCATTGGGAGTGCCCAGGTGAGCAGTGTCTGTCCCATGCTTAGCGTAGGGATGTGGCTGGGGCTGCTTGTGACACCAGGATACTGCTCTTCTGGGGTTGTTTCTGAGATGGTCTGTGGTAGAGACTAGGGCTTCCTGACGTGCTGAGAGCCTCACCCTGCTCCAGCCCCTCCCCCATAATGGCACTCACTTGAAGTTTGAGAGGAAACCTGGACTCTGTAAAGAGACCTCATGCCTGTGCGTTCTCAGAGGTGGTGGCCTGTGGTCCTGTCTCAAGTGGGCCTTGTGCAAAATAGGATGCCTGGCCATGGCTGTCACCAGCAGCCAGCTTTGTGGGCCTGTTCTAGGGGAGCCTCCTCTCATTCCTACTGCCAGCATGGTGCTAATAGGGCAGAGTATCTGCTGCTGCCCTGACCAAGGGGGACCTCACCAATGTTGTCTAGAGCCAGCTGTGAGCTGGACAAGAGATGATTTGGTGAGGGCCCCAGAATCAAGCCATCATTCTGTCCCAGCCAATCTCCTAACAGTGCATGTGTTCGTAGTAACAGAAATACCCCATTCCCAGGCCAGCCTGATAGCTCAGAGGACTAAAGTACCTGCTTAGGCAGAATGCAGAGGCTGGGGTTTGATCCCTGGCATGCCACGCCAGCTCTGCCCCTGGGGCATGCTGAGACAGTGACTTAGACTGGGTGTGGTGGCATGCGCCTGTAATCCCAGCATTTGGGAGGCTGAAAGCAGGAGGATCACTACAAGTCCAATCTATGTAGTCAGATCCTGTAGACTCTATAGACCTTGTCCTAAAAACAGACAAAAAAAACAATGCCCCATTCCCACTCTGTGTCTTCATATACTCCTGCAGGGCTTCAGTATATGTCCCCTTGTGTCCCTGGTAACAAGGCCACAAAGGTCTCCTTCCCTACTGAAGGGATGGAATAGGAAACCAGACTCACCCTGCTCCAGGCCCTCCCCCATGACACTCACTTGACGCTTGAGAGGAAACCCAGACTCTGTAAAGAGACCTCATGCCTGTGCGTACTCAGCCATCATTCTGTCCTAGCCAACCGCCTAACCGTGAATGTGTTCTTGGTAACAGAAATACCCCATTCCCAGGCCAGCCTGATAGCTCCTGGGGTGATGTGGTCAGCCTGTGCAATGTCAGATCCAAGATACTTCTCCCTCTAGTGTGGCCCCTTCAGCTGCTTAGTTGGCCAGCACCTGTCCCTCAGCCCAGGCTATGGCTGGGGGCAGACCAAGCTCCATTGTTTTCTGCCTCCAGTCCCTCCTGCCTTTTCTTCCCTTTGCTGGTCAACTTGCACGGAAGGAAGTTCATGGAGGAGAGGAGAGAAGAACACAGATTTGCACATCTGCCTCAAGTCACCTGATTGTCCCCCCAGTTGTCATGATATGTCTAAGGAGAAGACTTGGCCCATAGTTGGCTGGGTGTTGTCACTGGTGCAGGTCTGTTCTGTGTGTGGAGACTTGGTGCTATAGCCACAGTGTTGTTCTGAGGGCTGAGGACTGCCCATGGCCAGAACACAGCTGGCACCTGCAAGAGTGGTGGCCTAATGGGAAGGGAAGGGGCCCCTACTGAAGTTAGGGAGGAAGCACCACACAGGGGCATGGGGATGGAGGAAAATGGAACCAGTGAACAGTTTAAAGACAAAAGCGCCAGAAGCTAAGATGGAGTTAGAACCTGGGTTTACACTCCTACCTCAGACAACCAGGAAGTTGCTTAAATTTATGAAACACAACAATTTCCTTTCCTGTCACTACAGCAAAGGACAAGGATGCCCAAAAGATTGGAAACAAGCCAAGGTCACTCTGGATTCTTGCCTTGAGAAGTTTCCAAGCATTGTGCAGGACAGGAGAGGCTGGCTGACTTCCTGAATGGAAGAGCTGACCTCTGTATCCATGGAGATTTAAGCACTAGAGCTTGAAGGACAGAGTAGCAAAGAGGAGAGAGATGTCATTGGCCCAAAGGGGCCACTTGTGAGTGTTTAGCTGAAGACTGATCAGAGCGTGTGTCTGCGGAGCTCTAGAGTCAGCCTGAGTGAAGGCCGTCCCAGAAGACCTGAGTTAGCAGTATCCAGTGCTCAGGCAAGGCTGGAAGTGTAGCTGCCCTTGCCCTATCCAGACTGGCAAGCCTTATGACTCCCATGACTTTGAGAAGAGTCTTGCCTGCACAGTGGGGAATCATTAGTTTCAGGGAAAGTACCATTCCTTTCCTGTCTAATCTTCAGAGCAGAAGCCAGAAGGATCGTGTTCTTTCCACATGGTTCAGCTGAGTCCCCAAATCCAAGAGTATTTGTAGGAATACAAAATTATACTGTCCTCAACTAGGTAAGGTTCACAATATTTGGAAACTAATAAAAAATTAAGTGCTAAAAAATGAGAATATATGATATGTATGCTAGAGATAAGTTTATCAATTTAAAGGAATACAACTGGCAAAAAAAGAGAAAGGAATACAGATCTGAAACAGATGTTAGAATTAGTGGATATGAACACTGAAACAGATCTTTGTAACTCTGCATCATGTATTGTTTTCTTTCCTTTTTTTTTTTTTTTTTTGTACTTTAGGGAAGGGTCTACAGGGTGTTCAGGGTCTCACTACTAGAACAGATTCATAGTGATCCGCCTGTTTACAGCCTCCCAAGAGCTGGGATTACAGTTGTGCATCACCACACCCAATCTCAGTTGCCCTCTCAGTATGCCCCAGGGGCGGGGCTGGCACAGCAGGCCTGGGGATCGAACCCCTGGCCCCTGCGCCTGCATGTAGGTGCTTTAATCCTCTGAGCTATTTGGCTGGCCCTATATTTTATGTTTCAAAGGTTAAATAGATATAAATATAAAAATGTTTGAATCAGACTATAATATATACTTACAGTATATAAATTGAAAAACACATAGGAAGGATTAATAATGGATTAGGTATCCCACCAGACTCATGAACTTGAAATGCATAGAAATACTTTTTTCAGAATATTGATCTCTCAATGATGACATACCTTCAAGGATGTACTATGCAGTCTAGATAGAAGAAGAGAAAGATTGAGGCAAAAAAGATACTTGAAGAAACAATGACAAAAAATCCCCAAATTTGATGAAAAAAGAAAAACTATCTAAGAGATATAAGACACTCAACAAACACACAGCATGAAAAGTGTGCACAAAACTGTGCCAAAGCTATGATTGGAGGATGGGAAACTAATGATAAAAAGAAGATGTGAAAAGCAGCATGGGGGGACCAGCATGGAGGGGCAAGCTGGGGACAAAATGCACTTAGGACATTTACTGAGCTACACTGTGTTGTGGGCTGTAGAGTGTCTTAGAGACTTTTAGAAGACTCAGTTCCTCTAACCCTAAAAGACATTGCGAGATATACAGCTGCAGATTACTGTCCCTCATGAACATTAATGAAAACATTCTAATAAAAATTTTAACAAACTGAGTCAATATATACACCTTAAAAGGATCATGCATGATAATGAAGTAGGATTTATTCTGGGAATGCAAAGCTGCTTAAACACAAGAAAAATCAATCGATTTAATACACTATATTCACAAACCAAAGAAAGCCTGTACATGCATTCTTCTCATAAATGCAGAAAAGATATTTGAAAATTCAACATCCATTCCTCATAAAAGCTTTAGAAAACTATGAATAGAAGAGAACTTAATTTGATACAGGTTATTTTTGAGAAACCTACAGTTAGCTTCACACTTAATGGTGAAGCACACTAAATGCTTTCACTGTAAAGTCAGGAGCAAGATGAGAATGCCTGCTCTCCCCTCTTCAGTTAAAAATTAGACAGACTAAGCCTGTGTGAAAAGACATTAAAAGAAAGAAAAAGCATTAGATTGGAAAGAATGAATTAAAACAGCGTTGTATTCACAGATAGTATGACCATTTATGCTATTAGTACTAATACATATTTAGCAAGTTTGTAAAAAACATGCAAAATCAATAAGCAAAACTGAATTCTATCTCAATATAACAAGGATGAACAGTCAGAAATTCTTATAAGTACCACATACAACAATACAAATATATGAAATATTTAGAAATGAACCTTATGGGAGATTTTCAACACCTGCATGCTGAAAATTACAAAACATTTGTCAGAGAAATTAAAGAAAAAAACAAATGCCAAGACATTTTATGCTTAAACACTGGAAGACTGGATATTTCCAAGCTGTTAATTCCCCAAATTTATCTTTAGAGTCTATAAAATCTCAATCAAAGTTTCAGCAGGAATGAGTACAGAAGTTAAAAATGTTTCCAAGGTTTATATGGAAATAGAAATATGCCAGAACAACTTTGAAAACAAGCAAGGTGTGAGATTATAACTGAGTTAAAGCCTTCTAAAGTCTATTCTTGTAGCTAAGACAGTGTAGAGTTAATGTCAAGATCAACAACTAGATGAATAGAATAAAAGATTCCCTTATAAGGGGTTACAAGGATAGCCAATATTTTGGCCCTAGCCCTTCAAGGTCAGTGAGGACTCAGGACATAAGAGAACCTGTGCTGTGACATCTTGTAATTCAGTGGTGCCCCAAATTTTCTGATCAAGGAGATTATGGGGCCACAGACAAAAGTGATAGATGATGTAGAGTGTGCCTAAGGAGAGTCACCTAGAGAGAAAGCATTCTCTCAGGCTTCCACAGAAAGCAAATTGGTCAAGCAATGGCTGTGACTCATCTAGATGACTGACAGTGACAAAAGATCTACAAGGTGCTATACATGGTTTCAGGGTAAATCCTGAGGGGATTTGACTGACCTTATCAGATACAGAAGTTACATTTTTACTTATATAGGTCTTGCTTTAACTTGGTCTTAACCATCCAGCAGAAAAGTATAACCATGAAGTATAAAAAGTAATGCCATATTAATATGCTGAGCTGTAAAAGGCTCAAGTCAACAACTTCAGACAATTGCCAGTTCGGCTGATAACCCACTACTATTATGGACTATTGGACTATATTGGGTTATTTTGCTGAATTCAAGTACCTACAATATTTGAACTGGCAGCAAGTATGAAAATGTCCTTTAAAGACTTCTCCAAATACAGCTTCTCTAACAACAATGGAACACCCATCTCTGACAAAACAGAACAAAAAAGGGGACCATTTTATAGTGAAAAAAATGTATATACAAAATAGTTAAGACAGGGCTGGTGAGATGGCTCAGTGGTCTAAAGCACCTATTTAGAACAAGCTAAGCTAAGCAGAAGCACAGCGACCGCGGTTTGATCCCCAGCACCACATGCCAGCCAGCCCCACCCCTTGGTGGGCTGAGCTGGCCACACACACACACACACACACAATAAATAAATAAAATTATTTAAAAAAAAAACAAAATAGTTAAGACAGATACACAGTTACCTTCTATGAGTTCAATGAGAAGAACGATTTGTACTAATATTGTTTAGACAAGAGATCATGTCTGTATCTTGTCCTCTGGATAACCACTATGAAGACAACAATATGCAATGTATTAATTATTGTAACTGTCCTACTAACCTGTTTTGAAACTGTTTTATTGCTATTTTTTCTCATTAAAATGAATAAAAAATAAAGAAAAACAAAAATAAAGGTAAACATTCTGAAAAAAATTAAAAAGTAAAAAAAAAGTTTTTTAAAAAGATTCCCTTATAGACAGTTGATTTTTGACAGAAGAGGATAGTCTTTTTAATAAATGGAGTTAAGCCTATTGCATGTCTATACAGAAAAATTTTAAATCTCAATCCATTGCTCACTAGATGCAGAAATGAACTAGCTACAAATGGATCATAGGCCTAAATGTGAACTCCAGACCTACCCAAGGAGAAAACATTTGTGGTCTAGGTTTATGTAAAGATTTCTTTGGTACAATGTAGAAAGCATAGTACATAAAAGAATAAAAGCTAAATCAGACATCATCAGGAATTACAACTTATTGAGAAATATTTTTAAGAATATGAAAGACAAACCTCAGACTGGGAGAGAATATTTCCAATCATATATCTGACAAAGGACTTGTTTCCCTAATATTTTTTAAAGCTGTCAAAACATAGTGGTGCAAATAAATACCCCAATAAAAACAGAAAAAAACTGGAACAGACCCTTTCCAAAAGATGACGTGCTGTGTGAAATGACACCCACACCATTAGTCATTAAGGAAATGCAGATTAAACCCACCGTGAGACCCAGCTGTGTCCCAGCAAGAGTGGCCATTACTAAGGTCCACCATTTCACCCAGTGGGGATGCTACAGAGGCGATGTGGTGAGTCCCCACCTCAGAGTCACACTCAGCAACAAGAAGGAGTAAGCCACCGCTACTGCAGCAACACAGGTGGAGCTGTGGAGGGGTGGTCCTCCTCCCCTGCCAGTGGCACAAAGGGTATGGCTTCCTTTATATAAAATTCCAGAAAACACTAATGAATCCAGAGCGATGAAGAACAGGCCAGGGTTTGCCTGTTGTCGGCAAGGTCATAAGTGGTGGTGGGGTGGGGGAGTGAGGCACATGCTGTTTATTCTGATGGGAGTGATATTTTTATGGGTGCCTACTATTATGTGTTGATTATACCTCAGTGAAGCTGGAATTTAGAAAAGCAGTGCACCTCTCTAGTTACATAGGCGAATCAGAATAATGGCATCATAACTAACATTCAGAGATGTGCTGAGCATCTGCCTGTCACCTGTCCGTCATCCATCATTGATCGACTGACCTATCTATCCTCATTTTAGCTTTCCATTCTTATTTTATCCTAGCAACCTTAGGGAGTAGAACTGTTTTTGTCTCCTTTTCACAGTCGAGTAAACCCAGGCCCCATCACTTTCCCAGGGCCTCTGAGCCAGGGCTTGCTACTTCAAAATGGGCTCAGGACACTGTGGAGTCCTTTAATTCTTGTGTCTTGCTGTTGTCACTTGCAGGAAAAAGTCACGGAAGAAACTGAACTGCTTTCAGCAGTCCACAGTGAAAATGTCAGTGACATACAGGTAAGGTGCGTGCTGGGCCCTGCCTGCCAGCTGGCCACCCCTTCCACTTCATCCTGCCCCCTCAGTCCTGAGTGACCTCTCCCCTTCTAGACTCTGCCTCTTCCCCAGTTCACTCCCAGTTCCCCTGCGCTCCACAGAACCCCCTGCTTCCTCTGGCCCCTTGCTCCAGCTCCAGCTCCCACCAGGCACAGGCTGAAGGCCTCAGTAGCCCGGCAGGCTCCCCTCCCTCCTGAGGTGTGGGTGGTGGTGGGTGCCAGGGGCCTCTTGTGGGATCAGCCCCGTGTGTTTCTGCTCCAGGCTGTCCTTCCATCTGTTAGGTGGTTAGGTGTCCCCCTCCAGCTTGGAGTAGGGTTATGATTTTATACATTGATTATTTGCAACAACTTCAGTAAGTATTCCTTTTCTCCTTTCACTTGCCAAAAAATAAAACATTTTGCAAAGGCAGATTTGCAAGGCTCTGTATTGTAGCCAGTGCACACACATGCGCGCGCGCGCGCACACACACACACACACACACACACACCATGCACACCTGAAGGTGCTTTGGGTCCTCCACATGTTTCTCAGGTTCTAGCGCCTGCCTCTAGTTACTGATTTCAGCCACAAGGTGCATGACTCTTCCAGGGATGCCTGTGGCTTTCTTCCACCTTGCCCACCTTTGGCACGTGGTCCTTGGTCAAACCCACAGTGTACACTCCAGGTGCACTCTCTTCCTGCTAGAGAGCAGAGGGCTCAGGGGACATCCAGGTTCTGTGGACCCAGTGTGGGCTCTGTCTCCTTCTCCAAGAAACAGAGGGAGGCCTCATAGGACTTTGAGTCCAAGGTTGTCCAAAGGGACATTGTACTCCACGGTCCTGTGTGCACCAGAGGGGTCTTCTTGATGGGCAGCAGACTCCGTATGTCATCTGGGAAGAGGACTGGGCAGTCAGGCTTAGGGCGGTCCTGGGATGTGTGCACTGACCACTGACTGCAGACTCTGGGGCTCAGTTGGAGGGCCACGCATGTACCCACGTTCTGCCCAGATTGTGAACAGTTAAGTGTATGAAGAAGTCACTTAGGACAAATGTCTCCCTCTCTGGTGGCTGCCACTGGGCTGGATGGCAAAGTCTGGAGCTAGAACACAAGGGCAGACCCCACAAGAGCCCCCAGGCACCCACCACTGCCCACACCCCAGAAGGGAGGGAGCCTGCCAGGCTACCGAGCTTCAGCCCATGCCTTAAGGGAGCTGGAGCTCTTTTGCCTCTGGGGCATCCAGCGTGGCCTCCTGGGACCTCAGCAAGATGCATCCCTGGGGTGCTCACTTTGGAGCTGGAGTTGGTGGTGCCCTCTCTAGTGGTCCTTTACTCCCTGAACAAGGATGTGGGGGTCGAGGATGATCCCCTACTTAGCAGAGAACCTGTGGGACCCCAAGGGTGTCTGGGTAAACAGGCTTCATCTCTGAGTTTATATCCTGACCCTGCTGGAAGAAAACACTAAAATGACAAATCCGCAAAGACAGTGAGACAGAGAACAGTTATTGGAAGATAAGCACTTTAAAAATATTTGGAAACCAGAAAATCGATGGAGGAGTTTACACTGGCTTAACCCAGGCAACAAGGTGAGGGGGAACAGGAGCTTTGGCTGAGGCAGGCGAGGGACAGGACTGCACACAGCCTGAGGTGGGGTGGCCAGAACCCCAATTCCCTGCCTATACCACTCAGTTCACCTGCTGGACCCCAAGGGAAGCAATGGTGACTTCTCAGAGGGCAAGAAGATGAAGCTCTAAGCACAGGTTCCTGAACATCTGAGGTGGTGTGCTGAGGGAGCACACGCTGGTGGGAGGAACTCTGCATTTCAAGGCCGTGGCCTTGCAGTTTTGTGTCACTGCTGCCACAAATCACCACAGAGTTGGTGACTCAAATCAGCACAAACCTATATTATTCTAAGGTTCTGGAGGCTGGGAGCCTTGCTTACTGAAGTCTCCCTGGGGACGGGCATGTCCCTTCTGGAGGAGCTGGGGAGATGTTGCCCTGCCTTTGTGCTACTTCCCAAAAGTGCTTGTGTTCCTGGACACAGAGCACTGTAATCCTAATCCTAGCCCTAGCCCCACTCTGGCCCCTGCCTCCCTATTGTGAGGGCTCATGTTGCATGGCATTCACATGATACTCCACACACTCTCCTCCAGCAGAATCCCCAACTGAATGTCACCTGCAGCATCCCTAGACCCCATGAGGCAGCACACCTGGGGTCCCAGGATGAGAGTGTACATACCTTCAGGGCCACTGCTCCGTATGCTGCAGGCTCCTGTGCAGAGGATTTAGAACCACACACCCCAAAGCAAACAGGCCCAGAGAAGAGGCTTCCAGATAATACCACTTGGGGGTGCTGCCCCCATTACCAATCTTTGCCAGGTCACCCCCCCACAAAGCACCCTCATTAGCCCAGTGCTGTTGAGTTTTACCTTCTACACACTCTGGTCTTTTTAAGCAGCTGGAAATGTGCCCCAGTACTAAAATGACCTAACCCAGGAATGAGGAAAGGCACTTCAGGACTAGGTGAGGCAGAAAAGTGAAGTTCACAGATCAGCTCAGATGCCCAGTTGCTCAGAAAATAATATTGTCTAACACTTGGCAGATCTGATCAAGCATGGGGAAAAATTAGGAAACCAAACAAATGAAAATGAAGTATCTATATGAAAGCAGTCACTTTATACTACTGTGTTTAGCAATGTCACATCTACATTAACAATACTTACATATTCACAGTAGGCTTACATATTCATACTAACGTAAGGGCTGATTTAATGCTAGGCTGTGATGTAATTGTACTACTGGAGAGAGAATTGGGGAAGAAGGAAGTATAAAAGGGTTAAATCCCCTCACCACAGCAATGTCCAGTAGAAAATTTCAAAAGCTGATGAATTAAGAAATAGCATAAGTGTATTACTCAGAAACGGATAAATCCCCCCAAATGAAAACATTCATAGTGTCAGCCAGTGGGGCAGGGAACTGAGAGAGATGAGGAACTGCTGATGCCCTATGCATTTTAGTGCTAATGTTATTTTAATTTGTGTCATATGCATGTATGACTTTGATTTAAAAGAACCCAAGAAAGATCTCAGAATGAATCGGTCTTGCAAGGGGGTAATCCCTTTCCAGGTGCCCATGACATCGGACTCTTTTGTTTAGATTTCGCCACCACACTAGCCCTGCCCCACCTGAGCAGTAGTAAGACCTAAAATCCTCATGTGACAGAGTCACAAAGGGAGTAGGCAGTGCAGAGCAATTTTGTTGATGGAAGTGTGTGTGTGTGACTACAGCGCTCCAATCTCTACCCCATGATATGGTTAAAAACATGGATCCTGTGTCAAAGGCCAACTAAAAGCATTAGTTTTCTAACCCCTGTGGGAGAACTTGTCTTAATCATTTTATAAATTCTGAGTCTCATTAAGAACCGTGTGTGTGTGTGTGTGTGTGTGTGTGTGTGTGTGTGTGTGTGTTATAGGAGACTGAACCTAGGATCTTCGCACAGAGAACATTTCCAGGCCTGTTTTTATTTTTTATTTCCAGGCAGGGTCTCACTAACTCACTAAGTTGCCCAGGATGGGGTCAAACTGCTGACTGTCCTGCCTCAGGCTCCCAGGGTGTTGAGATTACAGGCCTGCACTCCCATACCTGGTTTCATTAGGAGCATCTTCAAACTAAGCCCACCTTACAATGAATTCGTAGGTGAGACAATCACGGTACTAGGAGCAGTGTAAAGTAAAGATGATATAGCCATATAGACCCCGTCTCATTAGCCAACCCCAATGAACAGGAGTCCCACTGGAGCCTCCTCTCTCCCTGCTGTAGGACTCAGAGAGACACAGTCTGATTTCTCTGACTGGTGAGCAGGAGCACAGTGTCAGCCGCTGGAGTTCGGCATCCATCCAGCTGCCCAAGGAGCCCAGCCACTTCCGCCCGGTCTACAGAGGCACCCCCATTGCGTTCTGCATTCAGCTCTTTTGTATCGATGAGAAGTACGAGGCAAGGCAAGCACTGGTCTCCAAGGGATCAGTTAAGGGTCAAGACAACTCAGGACATTGGTGGCCCCATGTTTTCTTTTTGAAGAGTCAGTGTTTACAAATCTCACACTCCACCTCTGATTCCCTTGGGGAGTTTTCCAAACAGCATTTTTGGTCCCCACCCAGAGATCCTAATCCATCAGATTTGAGCGAGGAGGGCAGAGGTGGGCATGAAAGCTGGCAAGGTCTAGGATCCTTGGATCACCACTGAGGCTCTGGAAACTGACCACATGCTGCTCCCATTCTCTAAAATTTCCAGACACTTTGGATTTGGGTTGTTTCCTATCTGGAGTATTTTAGTTCCAAGTAACAGGAAATCCCATTGAAATTGGCTTTGTGGACAAAAGGTGGAATAGATTAGTCCATTGTAGGGCTAATTTCAGATAAGGTTTGAGCCCAAATGTAATTGACCAAACCGGGGACCAGCCTCTCTCTCTGCCTCTTTATTCTGATCCTCTGTGGTGCCTCATCTTGGGGCCATGATTGCTGACAGAAGCTGTTCTACATAGACATCCAGTGAAGGGGACACTCTGGCTAGGGCTCAGCCTGCCAGCCAAAGTCCCACAAGTCCTGACTGGACTGAATGTTCATTCCAGAGTCAATGACAGTGACCGAGCTGGGCCTCAGAATGGGCTCAGTCACTTGCCTTGAGCCCTGCCCTGCACCTGGGGCTGCAGCCTCACCTGATGTCAGATGGGAGCAGGCATCCATGGACACCTGGGCTGCCTGCCCCCCTGTGCACCCAGCATTCAGGACTCGCTGCCACACCCCCGTCTGGACCTGGACCACTGCCCTTATACCCCACATTCCATACCTCCTATAGCACAGCACCAGTCCAGCAGCTACCCCAAGCCAGTCTGTAGAAGGAAAAGACTGTCACATTCGACAGATCAGACATTTTGGAGTACCTTTAGATGACCCAGCACCAGGCCAGGCACAGTGTTGTGGCAGACGGTTTTGAACATAGCTCCAGGCTCCCAGGCTCCTCTAAAATAAACAATATCTTGCTTTTTTTAACACTAAATTTTCAGCCTCTGTGATGATCTTGAAGCTTGAAAAGAGAAATTTAAAAAATTCTGATTATAGTGTAGGCCTGCTTGACTTGTCTCAATATTCCTTTCTACTGTGCATTTTGATATGAGTGTGAGTGACTCATATTTAGGGATGTGACTTTTGGATTTTTAAACAGAAATCCAGTGGCCCAGTATGGATTGCCTGTGAATGCAAACCACAAGCTCCCAGGAAATCTTTTTTGCAAATAAAAGAGAAGAACAGCCTATAACCTAATCTAACCTGTGCTCAGCTTGGATCAGACCAAGAGCTGTCTTTCCTGTGGTTTTTTTTTTTAGACAGTATCTTGCTGTGTAGTCCACGTTAGCCTCAACCTCACACGATCCTCCTGCCTCAGCCTCTCAAGTGCTGAGATTATAGATGTGCAGCACCACGCCAGGCTTCCTGTGTCTTTTCAAGTGTACAGAGATTATTAATTGCTATGACAGTGACTTCATCTATAAAATGCTTTACTACTGACACCTGACTCTTGTAACTTACATTCTGCTCCACTTGTGCTCTGAC